AGCGCTATTTTCCCTTCTAACTTGTAGTTTAGTTCTTTAAGTGTAGCAAAACAGGCCATAACGCACAGCACACAACCAAAAAGGCCACGCCATGAATTGCAGGAGCAAAAAGAGGGGGATCCGAAGAAGGGGCAAATGGAGCAGGTGAAGGCAGAAATGTAGATGTACTAGCTTGGAACTGAGGCATACTTGACTGGCACTCATGTCATGTGCTGAGTGCATGCATATGTAGCAGTTAGCAAGAGCAGGCGGCAGGCAGGCAGGCAGGCAGGCAGCAGGCAGCAGGCTGGCAGCATAAGCCATGTGCACAATAAACCCACCTAGCACTTGACGACAGGCATCAACACATCAACAGGCCGCGAAGCCCAAGCTGAAGCTAAAGCTAAACCAAAAGCTTTTGCCGATTGCGATGGCGATGGCGATGTCGATGTCGAGATGCCGATGTCGAGATGCCGATGTGGAGAGAACGAGGCCTCATCAGAAATTCCGTTCATTTCGCACTTGTATTCCCAATGAGCTGACAGCTGGCTTGTGAGCGTGTGTGTGAGTAAAAGAGCAATAGTTGCTTAGCCTTCGATTTGGCTAACTAAATCGTAACTAATTCACAGATATGGCTAATTGACACTGGCCTTCGAGCTTCGCTTTGCCTTGCGTTGCTTAACATTTTAGAAATCACTCAGTCAAGTTGTCAAGTTTAATTGACTGCCAGTTGCACAACTGATGCTCTCTCTCTCTCTCTCTCTCTCTTTCTCTCTCTCTCTCTCTCTCTCTCTCTCTATCCCTCATTGCACCATGCCACTGCCAATAAGGATTGGAAACTTGGTTTTAGTCCCATCAGTATCAGCAGCGTATATCAAATGCTCTCATTTGGAAGGCCACAACGCAACCATATTTGGTATTTTAATTAAAGTTGCCACAATTTGTTGCAAAAATACGAGAGTACCAGAATATGAAAATATGATAATCACAGCATACATAAATGCAAACCAAACACCAAAGCGAGCCTGTTGAGAACAACTCTTTACGAGTGCTTCTTAGGTATGTAAATTATTATTAACGAGGGCTGTTCGGTAAGTTACATATTCCACGAAATTCTATACAAAGGCAGATTCAGCTCTAATAAATGTCCTTAAGCTCACAATATATTCTTTGCTTGAGACTTTTTATTCTGCAATTATTATTGAATAAAATATGTTGCCTTTTTACTGTCCATTTTCATTCTCATTTGATATTGGAATTTGCAATTTGTCATTTTAGAATGAAATGTTTGCAAATGAAAAGTGGTGCCAGGTTCTGTTTATGTCTTAATTAAACAACAAATAGTACGCAGCATGATAAAGACACTTATCAACTAGAACCGGACAACAGATTGTTAGCAATGATGGCTACTAAAGTTGTTGTACATTTAAATGGAATGGTTGACTTGATTGTTTAATTGCCGCTGGCCGCAAATAATCAAACAACTAACCAAAGCAAACAGGTCAACAAGCTGAGCAACTGGCCAGGTGGGGGTAAGGAAGGGGAGGTGTGGAGGACTTCAGTGATTAAAAATCAATAAGGGCACGTGAGTCTCTGGAAAGAAATTGAAGAGCAAGTAACAGCAACAAGAACAACTAATGGCTAACTAATTGGCATTGAAAGTCGCCCTCTGTCAGATAAATAGAACAACTACGAGTATGTCATTCCAAACACTTTAATTGTTTTTGTTGGGGTTCGTTCATCCGGCCAGCACACAACTACCAAGTTGGCCAAACCCGCAATGTAGCAATGGCCAAAACTCGCCTCGGGCCGATGCAATCGCAATCAAAAGGCCATTGAGAAATGGCACCAAATTGAATTAGATTTGCATAAGAAAACAGGGAAAACGACAACGAAAACAAAAACGACATGCGACAAACGACAAACGTTGACGATGACGATGACGATGGTGATGGCGGCTGTTAATAAATATTAAAATTTTGAATTATACTTGGCAGCCCAATGAGAATCTTATGCGAGCTGGTATAAAAAAAAAGAACGAAAGAAAGAAAAAACGGAAGAAAGAAAAATCCACCCAAGGCATCCATTTTGTGGTCGAACTGAAAGTGGCCGGGGTGTTGAGTGGAAGACGGGAGAGGGTAGTCGCTGTAGTGGTGTTTGTAGGTGTGGTCGCACATTTTGGCAACGTTTCAAAAGTCGGCCACTGATTTGAAGAGCGCTCACACAAAGCCAAGAACCAACAACAAAAATACAAAGAATAATCTAAAGAAAAGCGAAAAAAAAAATATTGTAATGAAAAAAGTAAGAAATAAAATGACAACGAATTGAAAGTTTTGGTCGTTTTCTTCGGATTTCGTGTTTTTTTTTGTCGCCTGACACAATTACCAGAGCCATTTTCGTTGATTTGTAACACGTTGCAGGCTGATGATGATGAAGATGATGATAACGATGATTTTGATGGGGCGATGATGACGTGCAACTTGGCTGTCGGTGGAGGAAAGTGGAACTTGAGTGGCCCCAAGATGTGGCGCAATTGTCACACAAACACTTTGCATGCACAATCAGAGAATGAACGAAAAGAACGAAAGAAAAAGAGAGCTCTCCTTGCGATTGAGAGTGGCAGCCCCCCATTCGCCAACCGCCATTCCGCCATTCCCTTGCCCCACTCCACAACAGATGGCTCGTTCAGCTGCCGCTGCTATTCAACTTGAGGAACACTAGTAATAAAAGTATATGGAAAACTTGTCGCTTAACGCGTTGAAGCCAATTGGCAGTTGCAGCTGCTGCCCCACTTCAATATGCAATTTAATATTTAGCCAAAGCAAAAAATAAAAATAATCCTTAAAATTCACAATTCGCAATTTGCGAATCGCGAATCGCGAACTGGCATAAATTAGCTTCGTTTCTACACACACTTTACGGTTCTTCCGAATTTAAATTAACTATTTAGTAAAATTCTATGCATCTGTGAATATGAAATTAAATTGATTTAAAGCAGAATAATTTAAACAGTGGATCTGTAGAGAGTTGATCACACTTTTGTGTACTAGTTGGGGCATTGAGAGGTTGAGGAAGAAATCGACTTGAATCACTTTACAATTTGTGGCACATAAGAAAACGACTATCGATTTGTATTTGTTGCAATCGTATTTTTATCACAATGCATTGTTCCGTTGCCTGCAACGGCAATATGGACAGGAATCAGAACATGGCCAAAGGCGCTGAACAAATCAAAATCAAATCAAGGCATAAAAAATCGCACTAAGCAAACCGTTTTATTTAATACACTGCCTGGTCAGAATTTCTGCCAGTTTTAACTAAAAACCAAACTGATTTAAAAACGATAGCTTCATTTCGATGTTTATTGAAAACGAGTAGGATATTGATTTTTTATATAGATTCTTTTATGATGCAAAGTATAAATCAGAAGACTGTTTAAATTAAGCATTTGCACATATATATGATAACGCTACGTCAAAATGATGTTCCGGTTTATATTTTCTTTCTCGTAGACAATAGCAAGAATAACAACAAAAAATGCGAAAAAATGGAAAATGCTGGCTTTTGTCATAGCTCCTTAAGCAGTGTCTTTTCAGAGCGCTCTTGGTCGTGTCATGCGCGTGACCTCCCCCTCCGCCTCCTCCTCCTCCTCCACCTCCATCAGCCTCCCTCTGCTCCTGCGTGCGTTTCCTCGCAGAAAATAATTATGTACATGTGGCCAATGTGGAGGAGGATGGTGAGAGGACTGCAGTTGTTTTGTGTGTCAAGCCACGTGCAAGGTCGCCCTCGCCCACGCCAGCGATTTCAATAAGATATTACACATTTAATTGCGCATTCGAGTGAAGTCAGCGATGCCACAATCAATATCAATATCAATACTTGACAATGCCGGCAGTATAAAGCCAACATAAGCTGCTGTCAGATAGAATATCTTCAATTTAACTGTGGAACAGTCTAGATGTCATATTCTTCGCGGAGTTCTTAAGCGCAATTCTCTTCACATTGTGTGACTGTTGTACTTAAATATTATTAAATTGCTACTTATTTAATTCAAAACAAATAAAGTTTACTCCAACGCAAAAAAAAAATATTTTCGTGATCAGAATCCCTAACTAAGTCATGTACAGCAAGCATAGCTATGCGAACTAGTCGCTCAATTATAATCTCTATCTTGATGAAACCGGGAAAATGTACTTCCTTTTACTGCAGCCGAAACATATGTCGGATATACTATAGCTGATATAGTAACAATAAGATGCATTATTGTATGGAAAACTCTGCAACTACGAGTGTTATCATCCTACCAACATTTGCGCAAAAAATCATCACCAACGGACTACTATATCATATAACCCTATACGAACTATCGGTCTATTAAATTTGAAAATAGTGTAGACTGATTAAATCCAGTCTGCAAGGATATGTAATCTTTGGCGTTTGGAACAAATGAGTCTCATATATAAATTTGAATATGCAAGGAGCAAAATCCTTAATAGATTTAGTGACTGATGCCAAAAATATCTTTCCCACATTATTTCCTTTTAATATCAAAAGAGAGAGTTATGAAGAAACAATAAGCTTTATTTTAGCTGTTTCTGTAAATCAATCTTTCGCTATTTTAAATATAGCCACAATTTTTCAATAACTATGGCGATATTCACAAAGTATTTGTATATGGATTTTAATAGACCTTTAAAAATGATTATGAATCATATGGGATTAGTATACAAACAAATATCATTTCCATTTCCCGAGCATGTGGACTAAAAGCCAACTACTGTTCAATATTTAGTTTAGTCGCATTTATTTCATTTAAGATTAATCGAAATTAATTTAAAATGTACACTTTTCTCTTCGGTCTTATTATATAAATAAAATACTTTTTACCAATCGCTTAGATCTCTGTTTAAATGCGTCTAATCTTAATACAGAATTTACTGCCCATCAAGGGGTTAATTCTAACTAATTTCTCTCTGGTTTCTGTATAACTTATGCAGTTGCAACAAAGACGTATGGCTTACCTGCAGATCGGTGCCGGTAATGCCCGGCTGTGCCAGATCACAAGCTGATATCCAAGGATTAAGGCGTGTTAGGGCTGTTGCAGTGCCTAGTATGGATTTCCTGAGATCCACCACAGGCGCTGCTACGTTGCTGCTGCCACTTGCAGTTGTTGCTGCTGCTGTTGCAAGGGCAGATGGCAATGTGCCACCGTCCCTCTGGGCAATAGCGATTAGATGCGACGCATAGGCGTCGTTAACTCTGATCTCCTCCTGCTTCTGCGCCCGATCCTCCTGCTGCTCTCTCGTCTCGCGCTTATTGTTGTTGCTGTCGGCTGTCTCCCGTTCGTTCTCGATGTGTTTCGCATGCAGCAGACTCTCATCGATCAGTCGACTCTCGTCCTGTTGCTCCGGCTCCGGTTCGTGTTCCCGCTGCTGCTGTTGCCGTGTCAAGGCGAGACTCGCAGCCAGATTGTAATCCTCGTCCTCCTCGACGGCGGCGGCTGCTGCGTTATCAGCGTCCTCGCTGAGCTTTATCAATCGATCGAATGACTCCTCCGACAGCAGATCGTCCTCGGCGACGAGCGCAAAGATGTCCTCGTCTGCGACAGCGTCTGTGTCCGCCTCCAAATCCTCGTCGAATGCGGCACGCGATGAGGCGTATTGCACGGGCAGTCCCCTGTTATCGTCCTGCTCCTGTTCTTGCTCCTGTTCGTCCAGCTGCTGCTGTCGCTCCTCGCGATCCGTCTCTGTCTCCTCGTTCTCGTTCTCGCTGATGAGCGTCGCCTCGCTGGATTCGGGCGCCCCCGCCGCTGACTCTGTCCCAGCGCCGACTACTCTCCCTCGCGCCTCGTCGCTCGTCCCTCGACTGCTGCTGCTGCTGCTGCCTGCTTCGAGACTGCGAGCGTGTCGCGTCGAGAAAGCTGGCAACTGTTCGTCTGGCACTCGGCTGTGCGGATAGAAGTCAAAGTTGAGCTCAAACGAATCACGGGCGGGGGCAACGTAACCGGGACTACCGTCGCCCAATGTTGACAGCAGAAATGAGAAGCCGCCACCACCACCACCAGCTCTGCTGCCACTGGTGGCCGAATCGTAGCTGGACGGTAATGTTGTTCTTGTTCTTGTTGTTGTTGTCGTTGTTATTGCCGGTGTTGCTGTTGCTGTTGGTATTGTTATTGTTAGTGAGCTGCTGCTGCTGCCGCTGCCGCTGCTGCTGATGGTGTTGGTGTTGGTGTTGATGTTGGTGGTGCTGGCACGCCGAGCCCCCGAAATAAACGCAAGCGCCATCACGACCAGCCCGGGTCCTGGCCGCATATTGACCTCGGGTTCGGCGGTGCTAGCATGGTGCAGGCCCGCTTGAGACGCGCTTGCGACTCCAATTCAATGCGACAAATGATGGGCTCATGGCCCCATCATCATCATTAATATATCCTGTGTGTCGTTTCGATCTCCCACTTCAGCTGCTCCAGCTGCTGCTGCTGTCGCTGTCGCTTTCTGCTTCGATGGCGCTGCCTGGAAGGCGGCTCCAAGCGTTACCGATTCCGTATCCTGGCAACTGCTCGGCTCAACTCTGCGCTCGGCGGCTAGCGGCATGAATTACGTGCTACAATTCTGTAATACGGTCACACTATATTGAAGCGGCTGCTGCTGCTGTTGCTGCTGCTGCTGTCAATTACCTTGCACTGCAATTTGATGTTGCTGTTGTTGTTGCTGTTGCAATTGTTGTTGCTGTTGCAGTTGTTGTTGGCGCTGCAGAGCGTTGCAGCGTGACATGGCAGCCTCAGTGAGTGAGAGGGGAAGGGAGGGTGGAAGGGGCAGTAACGTTGGGATGTAAATGCAAACAGAAGTCGAACAATGACGAGTTAAAAGAAACTGGGAGCAAAGAAACAAACGTAACGTAACGCAACGTAACGTAACTTAACGAAAGTCACGACTGTTGAGGCTGGCGGCCGATTAACGATTTAATTGCCACTGATTTCGATAACACAAAACATTTTTTAACTTTCGTTTGCCATTAGCAACACTTATTTATTATTTTTATGCAATTTTCCGTTTTCCTGTTGTTGGGGCCGCTGTTATGTTGTTGTTGCTGTTGTTGCAGTTGTTGCAGTTGTTGCAGTTGTTGCAGTTGTTGTTGTTGTTGATGTTATTGCGACACTGCTGCACATTAACCTTGAAATTTAAATTGAAATTTGTGTGTCGTATGTGTTTTTTCTTGTTTTGCTGCTGCTGCTGCTGCTGCTTTTGCTGCTGCTGTTGTTGTTGTTGCATTCTTTTTGGACTTACAGCCTCACGCGAAGGTCACATAGCAGCAAATTTTGGCTGGACTGTAAGTATTATTATTATTATAATTATTATTATTCATTCATAATTCATAATTCATTATTAATTATTATTAATTGCTTAATTGTGCTTTGAATTTTACTTTTTATTTTTTAATTGTAATTTTGAAAAACAAAAGACTGTTAAGGTTGCCGCAGCGCTTTGCGCTTTTCGAAACGAGATTTTCGGTTTTAACGCGCTCTCTTCGTTTCTCCCATATTCACTTCCACAATTCACTCTCTGACGCTCTCTCTCTCCCGCTCTCTCTATCTATCTCTCTGACAAAAACGCCAACGCAACGTACAATTTTGTGCGCCCACGCTCCAAACTCAGCTGCGCGCTCTCTTTTTTTTCGTTTTTTTTTTACTTTTTTTTGGCAACCTACAGCAATGGTCTGCATTTGATTTGCATTTGAAATGCCGTTACATGCGTTATACGCTTTGTACAGCTTACAAAACGCAATTTAGATGACTGAAATTTATGACAACAACTAAGCATTTTGCATTTGCATTTGCATTTGCATTTTGCATTGTCTGCTGCTTTGCATTTGTCCACGCAAAGAAACAGAAGCAATGTGTGCAAGTGACACAGCAGCGAGCTTTAAGCGAGCCAATAAGCGAAAGTGTGAGCGAGAGACGAACGCAGGATGAAGAGCGTGAAAAAGAGATAGAGCGAGAGAGAGAGAGAGGGAGAGAGTGAGGGCGAATGTAGAATGGAAGCAGCACATGACGAGCACGAAGTCAAACGAAGCAGCCGCAGCAGCAGCAGCCACCGCACAAAGAAGAACGCCGAAAAAACGTCCCTAGTACACACACACACACATACACATAGACACATTTACACGTATTGAGAGACACACGCACAGGCCAAAGAAATTTATATAATTCGCAGCAGCCAGCCTGCTGCTTGTTGTTGTTGTTGTTGTTCTTGTTTTTATTGCTGCAAACACAAAACAGCGGCCGAGTCGCTCGTGGGTGGTGAACAGCAGCGCTGTTTATGTATGTAAGTATGTGCATGTGTGTGTGTGTGTGTGTGTGTATATATGTGTATGTGAGTAGTTACTTAGGGCAGCCAGGCAAGCACTCGGCGTGCCTTTTGTAGCATCATGAAGTAGTCGCCGTCTTCTTTGTCACTGTGCGTGCTAGTGTTGGTGGTAACTGTAAGTACGTATACGTATACGTATTTATGTATGTATGTATGTAGTTAGATGTTATGGCAGAGCTAAAGACGACGGCGACTGCGGCGCCTGCATGTGATTTTTTTCTTTTGAATGGCTGTGTGTTGGTGTTAGCTGCTGCTACTGCTGCTGCTGATTGTCCAACAATAAGCGCAGCATACTTTCAGGCGAAACCTAGCTTTTTTTGTTTTGCCTGTATTTTCTCTTAATTTGTACTTTGTTTTTTTTTTGTTTTTTTGCTGCGTGCGTGTGACAAAAGACGCTGCGCTTTTCAACAAACAAAAAATATTATTATTATTATCATAATAATAATCATCATAAGTAGTCGAGTGGGGAAGCTGAATTTGAATGGGCTCTCTTTTGGTCACACTGTGCGTGTGTATTTGTTAACTTTCACTTTTGTTTTATTTGCTGCTGCGTTGACACTGCGCACACACACATATACACACCAATACATATGCATATGTATATGTAGATGTATTTTCTCTTTTTTTGTGCGTTTGTGCGTCTGTGTGTGTGTGTGTGTGTGTGTGTGGTACTTCGGGTTTCTGCTGTTTCTGCTGATTCTGTATGGGGGCTGCTTATATAAGCCCGGAACATGGCACAAAAACTATTCGCAAACGAACTTTTCGTTGTAGATTTTCCTGCAATTTGCTACAGGGCTTTTGTTTATGCAACGTGGCCACACTTTTGTGGCTCTAGTGTCAAGAGTTGATTTTCACATATTATATAACATTTGGCATACAACATTTGCAGGCTTTATGTGATGACCAGTCGATGTCTCACTATTATCGTTTCTATCGATCACGATCTATCGAGCCAATACACACACACGCACACACACATAAACATACGTAAACGTAATGCTCTCTTACGTTACGTAGAAAACTAATATAACAAACGCCTAAGCAACCGTGTGTACATAATTACAATGTATCTGCTCGCGCGAGTGTGTGTGTGTGTGAGTGTGTGTGTGTGTGAGTGTGTGTGTGTTTGTGGGTATGTGTTTCATTGTGCGTATGAGTGTGTGGGTATTTCTTCCAAGAGCGCAGCATCAACTGCCGTAACGGCCGCGTGGGCGGAGGCTGTGCCTGTGGCGGGAGGGTGGGGGGTAGCTGCTGCTTTGGGGGGCGTTGTAGGCAGTGCCTTTTTGAGAGTTATGTTTCGTAGATTTTTTTTTGTTTATTTGAGTTGAACACCAACAAAAATTGTAAAATTGGCACCGCGTTTCATTCGCAATAACTCATGATTTTTTTTTCTTCTTTCAATTTGAGAATAACGATAACGATAGCGATAACTCAATGGACGTTGGCTCGTTTTCCGATTCGCAACTTTTCACATTTGTTGGCCTCTTGCTGGTTTATTTTCATTTATTTCGATTAATTTCTATATTTCTTTTGCATTTACATTGTGTGCTAAGACATATTTCATATAATTTTCTTCTTTCTTTTTATAATTATGTTTGGTTTCTTTTTTTTTTCTTTGTATATTTTTTGCCTGCTTTTTTCTTTTTTTTTTGTGTTGGTTCTTTGCTGCTTGACTCTGTGGACAAACAGTTGCGCGACGTAGCAGGATATACCGTTACAATCCTGCTTCTTGCTGATGGCCCCAAACGGCACTGACTGTGCCACAAATTGCAGATGGCGCTTAACTGGAATATGCCAATGTCCCGAGCTGCCCATTGGGGCAAACACGAACGGCGGCGCCACGCTCAGCGCTGACATCCAGATGAACGAGAGAGAGCCGCTGATTACGTCGCTCTCTCACTCTCTCGCTCTCACTCTCGCCCTCGCTCTCTCCCGCTGTAACGCTCGCTCTTGTTCTCTCGGTATGTGTGACAGTTTCGAATGAAAAGTTTCCAGTGCTGTTAAGTAACAGCTTCGAACAGACTAACAGCTGAAGCTAAACAGTTGCGTGCGTGCGTGTGTGTGTGTGTGTGTGCGTGTGTGTGTGTGTCACTATGTTGAGATGAAGCAAGAAAAATTACTTGCTGCAGGGCACTTAATCACTAATGACAGCGACGCCAAAGCCAGCGTTAGCAGCGACAGTGACAGAGCCAGCGGCAGCGACAATGCCCAAACCTTAACTCACTCAAAGTGCGTTGGCGCTGTCTCCACTTGACTCGAATCGAATCAACTCGACACTCGACTCGGATTACGTTCTGTGCTATGACTTGGGTATTTTGCTTTTGCTTTTGCCTCTGCTTTTGCTGTTGCTTCTCTTTGCTTTTATGTCTCTTCGTATGTGTTTGTGTGTGTGTTGCATGCTTGGCGCGTTTCGTTACGGCGTTTTGTCTCACTTGGCCTAAATGTCTAATACCCTATAATGTCGTTTAATCCCACTCAACGTGCTTTAGTTTTGCTTTGCAGCTTACAAAAGGCAGGCAGCCAACGCGAGTCCGTTGCAGTTGACAGTTCCAAATGAGCTCGTTCGATGAGGAGAGAATAACAGTTCTCTCTGTCTCCCTCTTGTTTTAATTCGAATTGAAAATGTCGTAGCATAACTTTGAGCGCAACTTTAAGCTGTCAAAGTTGTTAGGCAGAAAACTAACGGCAGGATTCAAGCAGAAAAGTCGGCCATGGAACTCAGACGACAGTTTCAGCTGATATCAACGAACTTGCCACAAACAATCCAAGGCCACACGACCTTCAACAGCCAAATAACAGACAGCTGATGCCCAAAACTGATGAGACTGAAACGGAATCCGATGCTGAATGCGATTCCACTTGAATTATTTAGTTTTGTTAATTAACTTAAGTAACTGTGCCACATATCGAATGAGCCAAATCCAAATCGAAGGGCAAAATAGCAGATACAAACTTCAATATGTTCCAAATATATTTATATATTTATTTGTTTTTATTTAATATTTATTTATTTGTATCAGACCTAGATAGAGTTTCTCCAGCCTTCTTTAAACTGTAGTCATGCTATAATTTTAAGCTACATAGAGAGCCACAAAAGAAAAGAAAGAAAATATTCAAAAGAGATTTAAATATCATATATCTAATTCACAAGTATTAAATTAAAGTAATACACTCAGGAATACAACAATCCAATGCTTATAAATTACAAAATATTTGTAAGAGCAATAAATATTGGGAAACCAATTCATAAAAAGGGAATTTTTCTGATCCCAACGTCCGTTGCCCAAACAA